CACAAGAATTGTGTTTGTGGCCGGTTTAATGCCTTTAATGCCCAAGTCGGGCTTTGGGTATCAATACCTCTCAGCCTACCTTACTTACCTGCCTCGCCTGCCTATTAAAATGTAAGCAAGTAAGACCTGCTGCAGCTGTGCTGCTTTCGCACTGCGCCCCTAGCACAAACAAGAGAAAGCCCTCGTCATGGCTGCCGATTTCTCGACGTCTCATGGGGACAGATATCTTTGGGTAGCACACCGTCTCCATCGAGTGCCAGTCCGCATTCGAGCATTTGGCATATTCAGCATCCAGCATTTAGCAGCGACGAGCACGCCTGCATGAGCCTGCACTCGTCCATGCTCTGAACGAATGGGACTCGGCACTGGAGGCCCCGGAGAATACCAGTCGCCAGCCAACCCAGCGCGGCACACTAGACGGCGGAAGGATTCGATATCCACCTTCGGACTGGCAGTCTCGTCAGTCCAGAGGTCTCGACGAGCAGGAGGAGTCAATGCGCTCTTCTTGCGAATGAGGTCACGCATGGCACCTCTGCAGCGACACCCCATCGAGCCATGCTCTAACTCGCTGCTGCTTGTCTGCATCCGTATTGGGACGAGGGACGTGGCAGGTCTTACTCTTTACTAAGGTTGTCTGCAAGACAAACAGCCCCCAGCCGAGCCGGCCCCCATTGCGGCCCCTTAGTCTGCCCGCACATAGCACAAAAGAAGGGGGACAATGTCTAGTGTATGATGTATGATGCATAATGCCCTGGACACGACCCTTTCCCGACGATATACGCGTGACGATTCAATACCAAGGTGTCGTGGCTTGCTACTCAGCGCATGGCAACGAGGCCTTTGGCGGTTTTGGGTTTTTGGCATCGGGTTTAGTTGAAGAAGCCGGTTTCTTTATTTGGAACGCTCCCTACTTACCTAGTCACTGTCAAGCCCGACGTCTAATACCCCACTCCAATACAAGATAATGAGTGGCTTCTGCTGTTCTGATATCCTCATCAGATGGCCTAATCAGTAATTACAAGAGATGGGAAATGCAGGGCTTGCAGGGTACCTTGACTTCGACAACATCGTACATGTCTTACCAGGGGGCCAGGCCCCAAGTAGCCATCGCAGTGCAAGCAAGCCTTGGTCTGCTCGCCTAGTTGTTCAAGGTGGAAAGCATCACTTGCTACTACTTACCTATTCTTCACCCAGATTGCTAGGCTGCCATGCTCGCCAGGTACCTAGTAAGCAGTTCACATCTCAAATCGCTAGTTTATGCAAGTGGGTTGAGCTGAGCCAAACGACATATCCATGATGGCTCCTTTGACGGTGTGCATTGATTGTCCTGCGAGCCATCCTACAATCCATCCGGGGCTCAAGTGTGGACAGCAACCTTTTACCTTGCCTGCCCTTTCTGATAAGCTGAACTACCCGCATCGAATCGCTTGAACGCGTACGACGCGAGGTTAGTGCATAACTAAGCAGGAGCATGAGATCTACCTGGTCTCGCCCGTCATGGCGGTCATGCAGGTTGAGGTTGGGCATTGCTACCTATATGTATGCATGTGGGTACATACATACAATCTTGGTCAAGAACTTCACCTCTTCGGCGCAGACCGTTCTACGTGTACGTGCTTGCCTCGGAGAGGACCCTAAGGGCTTCTCATTGTTCCATCAGACTTTACTGGAACAGGACTTCAATTACGTAGTGAGTAGTTCAGGGGCGACTTCGTTGTGACGACAGAATATGTCGCTGCCAGATCCGTAAAACGTGCACGTAGGTCATACACTACTCTCAACTACTTGGGTATGTATAGCATCGTGAGAGGCGGGCTCTCATCACCATGAAACCTACAGTAGCGAAGCCATCCCGTTTCTACCCCACGAAAGATAGAAGCAAGGGTTGTACAGCAGCACGATGAACCACATGAACTTCATCTAATTATTTCCTGTGTACCATGTACACGTGGAGTTCACCTTGCGAGGAACCGTACAAGCCTCAATGGAAGGCGCTAGAACCATACGCATCCCCATCCAATTCCAGAGGATCGTGAAAACGCGAACAGTACATCGTGAATAACGGCGATTCGGTCGGTGGGGTTTTCCCTTGGCGGTGCAAATCCATCGGTAGATGAAAAAGAGCGAATGGCTGGGCCTCTTTTCGGTGCCCGTTCGCCTCCACGAAAACCGAACACGCAGAACCGTCACCTCACCGCCTTTTGCCAAGCAGGGAACAACCTCGCTGCGTCATTGCGTTGCCATCCCCAACCCCAACTGCAACTGCAACCCTCGACCAGATAGATAACGATACCGACCGACCATGCCACCGTCGTACGGTGTTGGTTAGTTGCTTTTTAGTAAAAGCCGTTTTTTTCTATCAAATCGATGCATATCAACCGCAGCCAGCGGCGTGTCGCAGAGTGACTGACGTGTATGCACTTGACCATCTTCACTCGGCATAGAACGCGGCCCTCGGGTTTCACGGAGGAGAAGCGCGCGCGCCTGGTCAATGGCGGCCGTAAAAGCGGCATGAGCATTGACATACATACACACATGCCTCGGGACATCCGGTGGCCCATACCATAATGCCGCCTTCCTTCATCCTTGAACCCGAATTGCGCTACCGCACGGGGGAGTGCGGCGTTGCCAGCCGGTGATTATATGCGGGCTCTTCTGCTGTTTTCCTAGCACGTTACGCCAATTCAACGAACGATGCAGACCGAAGCATCTCTCGTTCAAGCTAACTGCAGCTTGCATTCATGCGTACTATCCGCCAAGTCGAAGGCCTGAATGCCAGGGGCTCCAAATGAATTTGCGTTGATGGTTTTTGTCCAATATATTCATCGAGTTCCGATTGGGCCGATGACTTGGTGGAACTGCGGTTAGCCTTCCGTGAACCGCTTGAGGAAGACAAGTCCCCCTACAGAAGTGCTTGTATAAGTCGAATACTAGCTTGGGACTTTGAATTGAGACGCGTCAGCCTGTATAGAAGAGTTTTGGGCTCAGGTGAGTGGTCTCCCGGTCCTGACTGTTGCGGTGATGTCTACAAGCCCGCAGACGGTCCAGTCTCAAGCTTGATAGCAATGTTCCATCATTTGATGGTGTCATACCACGATCGTCGAGGCATTCCTGTTCAGTAATAGGACGATACGTCTGAGTCGAGCTTTCACTCTGGCCTTCCATCTATCACTATCACAGTGATGACAAGTGATTGCTGCGCTGCGGTGCCTGGGATCGACAACAGACCCGACCTGAGGAACGCAGCAAGACTAGCCAATGTTGATCGAGCCAATGTAGTTCAAGAAACGAAGCCGGCGGACAAAACTGCTGGGTTATTGCCAATCATACCATCGTCGCGAAAGCCGCGTGGTTGATAATATTTGTCGAGCTGGAACGACACTGATGCTCCCAGCTCTAGTCACAAGTTTCTGATAATTGTGCGAGTGTGTCTGGCTCCTTTGAATTCCTCACTAAGGCGTCGCAGTCAAAGGTCGAATTTTCCTCGGATTCTTTTGCCGTCTAAAAAAATACAATGGGAGCAGATCAGAGGACCCTTCTGCCCCTGAGGTTCTACTCCACCAAGCTTAGGTAGCATGAGAGAAATGAGGGCGTCTGGTCGACTCACCCGAATAAAGCTCCCTGGAACAGATGCTGTGCGATGATGTCAGCTTTATTGCGCAGAACAGCAGACGATGTTATTTATGTTTGAGTGGGTTGGCGGTTGCTATGGTCATGTGGCTAGACCGAGGCTGAGCGCAGTGTAAGTGTTTGTCTTCCTATATCTCACGGTTCTTCAGGTTGCGGATCGGGTGATTCTCTCTTTCTAGAATTATGTCCATCGTGGATATGAGGGGAAAGGGGCTGACTAGTCAAATCAGATTAGATGTTTTATCGTAACGCCCAGATGCCCAGATCAGGACCTCTCTGTATGTCGCGGTTGGGTGGATCTCTCACGCCCACGGGCCACGATCTGGCCATGTGCAAAGCATAGTGCAACCAGCAGTACGGGATGGTAACGTTTTTAAGTCCCGGACCCGGTTACACTCTGGGATATCGACGTCATAGCGTAGCATGTTCAAATCATGCAAAATAGCCCGGATCTATTGTGTACATGATGCAGCCCATTCCCACGATGAGAGGACGTGGAGTTGGGTCAGGCGCGTTGTAGGGGGAGATATTGCTCCAAGAAAACGTGGGAAGTATGACCGCGCGGGAGCACTTGATGTGAAACGGATCGACGATGGGGATATCGGTGACCAATACGACGATCTCCTGTCGAGGGAACCTACCTCGCCTACCTGCTATCTAGGTAGGCGCAGACGGTGAATATCCGCTTGGACTCAAGTCACCAACCTGTTCGTCTCTGCCTCTCTCTGCTCCCAACCATCCATTGACTCATAGCTCAGACGCTGATTGGACGTAGGCTCCCTACTACACCCTCACGTGGTTGCATCTCCCACGTGATATGGGTGCAAATATCCACTCAGGCCTGCGCGCGGGAGGCATTCTAGCGAACTCAGATCTTCAACCGGCACGGACTGAGCCGAGCACTGATCTGCAAAGGGGATCCGTGACGGTTAGATCCTTCAACCTTAAAAAATGCGAAGCTGATACTCGTGCTGCATGTAAGAGGCTCCCTATACGATCAAGGGGTCAGTCAGTTAAAGGGCAGTCGAAAACAATTGTGGCACATTGTTTCATTGGGACGATATCAGCAAAGGTAAACAGATGCTGTTGGCCCTTGACTCGGACAGTCACGCATCTGGCAGACTGTATGGCACGTAGTCAGTCCTACGAAACATTCTGCAAGCACCACACACATTTCCGAGCTGGATAGTGTAAGCCAAGAAACCTATCTAACACATTCGTTTTGTTGTAACCTACCAACCGAGGTGGATAAGGCACCCACCAACCCATTGAAGTTTGACTGCCTGCATGTGCTCCAAGCATCGGGAAAATTCATCATGCATATTCAAAGGACTCGGTCGGAGTGAGCAAAAAACTGACTTTGCATACAACTCCGAATCGGGGAATCGAACCCCGGGCATGTCGGCACTTCCCAACATCTGCACAACGAGTGCAGATGAGTTGAGAGCGACATATGTTAGCCATTACACCAATTCGGAAAACATCGAGGGTATAATGGCGGGATTTAACCACCACGGTTGGACTCGCGGGGAATCGAACCCCGGACCACTCCCAATCTCGTGAGGCATTCGTGAAAGAAACCGTGCAGATGCTAAGGGAGTATTATACCACTAAACCACAAGCCCGAAGTGGGAGACAAGCTTCCTGTGGAGTCGCTGGCTGTTGAAACAGATTTTGTCACTTAGTGCTAGGTAGTTGGGCTGGACCTGGCGCCGCCGCTAATTCTTGGGTAATTCTGGGCTCCCAAATGGGCGAGTCGGGTTGTATGTGGACAGCTTAGAGAATGGAAGTCAGTGTATTGACAATGGTGTGGGATATACCAAGTTTCAAGCACACCTGAGTGGGAGTCACTGGCGAGACTGGTATGGAGTCGAGTAGCATCACCCCTCCAAGAGTTCGCTTTTTGGGCGAAGAAGCTTGGAAAGCAAGCAACTTGCAGATAGATATGTGAGCGAGAAGTAGCTAAAGTACCAAAGTGCCTCGAGTGCCAGGCCAATTAGGCTGCTGGATCCCACCCCTGTGAGGGGCGTGGGCGTCCATCGCGGCCAATAATCGCTCGCGGTTGAACCACAATGCATTCTGGAGGGTTGGATGCAATCAGGGCCATGGGGCACCTGCATGCATGGGTCATGATAAGCTCAGTCACCTGAGGTCGCTCGAATCAAGTGCCACCCCTCAAGCCCCTCCCCAGGCGAGCTAGGCAACCTTAACAAGATCTTGCCCCTCTACCGTGCCAGTATGCCAGTGTAGGTAGTCACACCGAAGATGGGTACTAACCTAGGTTACCTTAGGGAGGTATCTGCGGGGCACAACCCCGCGGACAAGCACGCACTCTGAGGTCGTAAATCGTCTCTCATGTAACCTAAACTGACGTACGCACCACACTTACACACCTGGATCAATCAATTCCTGGCATCCATTCAAGGTTCTTAATACCACACGACTTGGACTGAAACATGCCGGTTCGATTGATTCAGAGTACGACGATGAAGACGTCATCGACTACCGGCGACTCTTGTTTCTCTCTCGCTCTCAGATCGCAAGGTCATTTATTCTGCTCAGTATTATTTAGTGTAGTCTAGTGCTGGGCGAATTTAGTAGCCGTCGTTCGTCAGCCGCGCTCCACGCTACACGCACGCTATACGCTGCACGCCACTTGCATGGAATCTTTTTACTGTAGGTATCTACTAACGTGTCTATCTTCCTATCCGGCAAATAGGTGCGAACAGACCAACGAGGAATACAGCAAATTGTAAACAGGCGTGCAACTTGGCGATATCTACGGCATGTCTCAGCCAAAGTCAGTACGTCTTCCGTCATAGCCGCAGCAGCCGGGCTCGCGGGATAGCATGTCGTCCAGTTGCGTGCATCACGCCACCGTCGTGTGCGTGTGTGTGAATAGCAAATGTACTACTCGAGCACCCAACTCATGCAAGGTACGACGGGGACGCGCTGCAGCGATGCGCATCCCGATCCCTGCCGGTGCGTGCATCTTGGATCGGCACGCTAAGACAGCAGCGAATGATACAAAAGCTCACGAGCCTCACCAGCGTCGCAACGCAGACGCGCACCGCGCTGGGGTTACGGGACGGAGCAGGGCGAGAGGGTGTGCAGCCTTCCTGTCAGATGCCTAGTTGAGCTGGCTGGCGAGGGTCATGGCAGTGACAGGAGTAGAGGCGTCGTGAACTCGGCGGAACCACTCGTATGAGTCGTATCACACCCGGTTTTCCCTTCTGGGCAGCACACCATCTCACATGCACCCTTCCCCTTCGGGAAACCTGTCTGCTTGTCTGCTTGACTGCCTCCTCAGCTTCTTTCTCTCTTAGTCTGCGGTGCGAGTCTTCGCTCCCTGCGCCCTGTGATTGATCCACGGCCGCAGACGAGAGAAGCTCGCGTCTGTGTCTGTGGGCATCTCGAAAGATACCATACCCGTTGTGACAGCTGAGCGACCGGGATGACCACCACCATCCTCGACCACCCTCCCCCCCTCTCTCTGCCTGCCCCTGCGAAAACCCACCAGGCAGCCTCTCCGATCAACAGGTGACTAACCCGAGCACCAGCCACTTTCCTGACATATGCCTGCTGCATATGCCTTCTGCCTATAATGGCATTTATATATACCTGGCCTTGTCGCCGCATCTTTCGCTTATCTTGCTGCTCTGACTGATCACTTTGGACTCGACGGTTTGGTGCTCCCACTCTATCGACTTGGCTGTACTTGATCAAAAACCGGCCTGGGCCCGGCACTCTTTTTGGAGAGATTCAAGTCTGCAGGAAGCCTGGCTTTTCATTCAGGCCGTGAACAGCTTCGATCAACCCTAGCGTGAGAAGAAACTTGGAAGCCTGCCATCCGCCATCAACAACTCTTGTTCTATCAAACCCACTATACTCTACCAACATGCCTCTCTCAACGGCATCAAACGCACTGGCTGCAGTGCCCCGGCAATCGTGGCCCCCCACTGGCCTATGGCCTTCGAGCCCTAGCCGGATCCCCCCGGCGCTTGACGATGACAGGGACGGTCTTTCTACAGATGAAGAAGACTTCGACAACGGGTCAAGGCCCGAGAATCCTCTCAAATACTTTTTAACGCCCGCAACACCAGCGGCTACGGAAGATGATGAGCTGGAATTTGAATTCGACTTCGATGCTGGTATTGAGGACTCCAATAGCCCCCGTCACATCGTCCGGAGCGTGAGTCCCTCAACACTCGATGGCCTCAGACGGTACAAGACCACGAAGGAGCCGGAGTGCGCCATATTGGAGGATGACGACGACGACGACGAGGATTACATCCGCTTTAACTCCCACAAGTCGCTGCCCATCAGCCTCGACGACTACTTTGATCACCCGCGCTACAACTCGCCCAGCCGCTCTCTGTCGCGGAGCGCCGAGACTCTACTATCGCCGACCTCCTTCCACGTCGGCTCGCCCAGAGGTCGCCTTACCAAGCCCTTCACCCCACCACCTCGGCGTTCTAGTCTGCGAGGTCGGCCTGCTGCTCGCACATTACAGCGACGACACTCGTGGCGCGAACCCAGCCCCGACGTCTGGTCCATCGACGAAGAACCCGAGAAGGAGACCATGAGCGAGATGGGACTGAGCGTCGAGGATCTTGACATCGACTCGGACAAGACCAAGCCAATAGACATCCCGGCTGCGAAGCCGAGGAAGAAGGTCAGGTTCTTGTTGCCGGCTAAGGAGATGTGAGGGCTCGCATATTATTTCTTGTCAATCTGCATGGATCTGGTTGGTTGGAGGGTTTATTATATACACTTGCATGGATACGGAGTTTGAGGAAGTTCTGAATTCGGGTGGCACACTCCTTCCGGCGTCATGGCACCGCATCATCATTTCCTTTGTCACAATACCCACATCATCATTCATCGTTTCCTATAGCATACGGGCCTCTGCATATTTGGGGCGTCTAGGGGGTGGTTTTTCGATTTCAGGCGTCTTGTCCTTAGTCCTATAATAATGCATAACTCTCATCTTCATTCCAACCTTGAGTGCACATCACATTGTAAATGAAACCTGTAAACAAGTCGAACAAGGGTACCCCCATACCTCCTCGCCTTCCCACCACTAACTGTAGTTTGCACCTCTTCATCAGTATCAAATATTCCGAATGCATCTTCATCCTAGCGGCTTCTTAATCGTCATCACAAATCCTTTACCAAGTCAGCTGATCAGCAACAAGCCTTCGCACACTGAAGCGACTACCAACACCAATGCCTTATCAGTGTAAGCAATAGACTCAGACGGCGTAAGCCACAAGCCGAACAGCATCCGACCGGCACCGAGACGCCGAGACGCACACTTTCTTCGTCTCCCAGAATTCCACACTACTCTGGGTAGGTAAGTACAGAGGTAGCTATGTCAAATGTTTGCACATACAGTACATACACATCCTCAGCACCCAGCAGCGTGCGTTGCAGGAGAGGTATCTTACGCAAGCCCACCCACACCGCCTAGAGTGCCAGCCCCATCATGATTTTTCACCACCGATATCAGCACCACGCCGAGGCAGGCAAGGCGCAGGTGGGCCTCAAACCACGCACCAACTGTTCCAAAGCGTCGGAATTAAGAGAACGTGGCGTCCTTTCGCCTGGGCACGGGTCTGGGCACAAGGCCATTGTAAGTTGTCGGTGCCGTGTTTGCTCTAGTGGTTTTTTTTTTTTTGCCTGCGTAGTAGCAGTGTGGCTGAGCTGGCACACGTATACAATCCTACCGAATTAGGGTTTTCTTCTTCTTTCATCTTGTTGTTGTTGTTGTTGTTATTGTTGCCTGCATGCTTCCCTGAAATCAGTAAACGAAACATACTGATATGTCAGCTGGGTATCCATTCGTTCCCAGCCCTATGCCGGGTTGTCCGTATATGCGTCATACAGAATACGTTCCCTACATCTTACATACTTGACTACCTACATATCGTTCGTTGGCATACCTATGCAGGGCAGAAAGGGCCTGTACCGGGAGTGACCCATTGTGTTTCGTTTTTGCAATTTACGAAGTTTCATGTCATGTTGCGCAGTAGGTAGTAGATATTTTACTCTTTGCTGCGCATAAACCGATCATGATTACTTGTCATTCAAAAAGCTCGTCGTTACCCACTTTCATGATGTGGCGATCATCCATCATACTCACACACCAACATTCTCGGCATTGCCCGGGACCGAGGATTCCGTTCTTACAGCACACCATCTTATTTTTCGGCGATAGAAACTGGTCACCAACAACTTCAGTCCAGCACTGCTGATGGCAGGAGAGTAGAGCAATACACGATGTGTGAGACAACATGCGACGGGTGTTAGCAAGCCAAATATGTAAGCACGTGTTGATGTCGATAACTACTTCAGGTTAGGTCAGCGGTCAGAAGTGGGAGCTAAGGCTGGTAGTTGGTGAGTTGATTACCTAAAGTACATATAAGAGGTAGGTAGGTCATGGGTTGCCCTTTTCCCGTGATTATTGCTTACATATGCGGAATCGGAACAACCGGGTTTACCGTAATTATTTGTCCGTGCATTCGAGATGGCGATAGAAGGCTCATCTTCACCGACATTTCCATACCTATCTACCTAGGTACCTAAGGTAGTGTGCACACTAAAGTAGCTTGAGTGTACACAC